AGGATTCGAAGTAGTGCACGTCTAAGGAAGGAATGCTGAATTTACAAATAGATGCAAAAACCGGCAGTTCAGTATCCACCGGGCAATGATCAATTGCATTCCAGGGGATTCCATTTGCATTTCTATGGACAAGCATCATTTGCATAACTATTCGTCTTCTACAAGTTGCAGAGTTGTAGAATAGTGCCAAAGCAATGAAAGGTACAGGTAACCCAACGGAGAAGCTAGACAGGTTACACGTTAATCCTTTTTTGCCCATTTTCCAGTCTTTAACAACTTTCCTCATAATACATTTATTAATTTATTTGTGCAGAAGTAATACATTCGCATGGTTGAAATTCGAAAGATATAGTGGTGAACACAGCATTGTAAATCAACTATACTTCAATTAAAAAAATAAAAAGATACAATGGTAAAGTCTCCTCCCTACTCCTGACCCCCAGCCACCCAGAACCCCTTGGAGGCAACCATTGCTAGCAATTTCTTACGTATGCTTCCGAGAAATTCTATGCATAATAAGCAAACATGTTAAAGAGACACTCACATAGGTTTGCTTATTAAAAAAAAAAAAAAGACTTTATATTCCATGTTCTGTTCTTGTGGTTTTTAAACTCAACAATATATCTTAGAGTTTATTCCATAAAAGGGTTTCCAGATTTTTTTTATTAAGATTAAAAACATTGGGAATTCCCTGACAGTTGACAGTCCACTGGTTAGGACCCAGCACTTCCACTGTGGCGGCCTGGGTTCAAGCCCTTCTTGGGGAACTAAGATCCAGCAAGCCACATGGTGTGGCCAAAAAACAAATTGTAAAAGCCCCCACACCATTATTATTTTTATTGCAGTATAGTTGATATAATACTTTATTAGTTTCAGGTATACAACATTTATATGCATTATGAATTGATCATGATAAGTCTAGTTACTGTCACCATACAAAGTTATTGCAAAATTGACTATTTGCTATGCTGTACACTACACCTCTGTTATTTATTTTATAAGTGGGAGTCAGTTCAGTTCAGTTGCTCAGTCGTGTCTGACTCTTTGCGACCCCCATGTACTGTAGCATGCCCACCAGCCTTCCCTGTCTATCACCAACTCCTGGAGTTTATCCAAAATCATGTCCATTGCGTTGGTGATGCCATCCAACCATCTCATCCTCTGTCATCCCCTTCTGTTCCTGCCTTCAATCTTTCCCAGCATCAGGGTCTTTTCCAATGAGTTGGTTCTCGTTTCTTTGCATCAGGTGGCCAAAGTATTGGAGTTTCAACTTCAGCATCAGTCCCTCTAATGAATATTCAGGACTGATTTCCTTTAGGATAGATGGGTTGGATCGCCTTGCAGTCCAAGGGACTCTCAAGAGTCTTCTCCAACATCACAGTTCAAAAGCATCAATTCTTCAATGTTCTGAGTGTGTACCTCTTATTCCCTTTCTCCTGTTTTGTCCAATCCCTCCCACCCCACTCCCCTCTGACAACCAGCAGTTTCTTCTCTGTATTTATTCATCTGTTTCTTTTTAGTCCCAAATTCTTTTTTCACAGCTGCATAGTCTGTTGTGTGGCAGGATCATGTTTATTTAATCACTCCCTTATTGAATAGCCTGGTGTCTTATGAGTAAGGAGTGGGTGAGTAGTGAGGCAGAAGAAACTGGAAGTTTTCTTAGAATAGGACTATTGCTTGTTCCTACCTCAGTTTCATCAACTAGGAAATGGGTTGATGATTCTAACACTACCTTACAGAGTTGTGTAGGTAAGTGGATTAGTTCATGTAAATTGCTTAGAACAGTACCTGACATAGTACTTGGAACATGGTAGGTATCAGTATTTATCATTTTCCTCCTTTGGAAAATTTGATGGTGAAAGAAGAAAGAAAACTGAGTGGAACCATCCAGGAAATATCCTTTTTAGAGTGAGTAGAGAGGGAAAAAGGAATAGCAAACAAGTGAGTACTGTGTTGCTGCAAGTCTTGATGGGACGGGTCCCTTCCATGTCTCCAGGTAGGCGTTACAATTGTGCCCATTGTACAGATGAGGAAATCAAGGCACAGAGAATTTTGTTGCTCAGGCAAGACTGCGCAGTTGGCAAGTAGGGCAGGTGTATTCGCACTTAGACAGCCTGATGCCAGCAGCCACACACTCAACCACTGCACCATTCTTCCTCTTGATGTGGGAAAGAAAGGAAAAAGGTTAAAGACGTAAGAGCAAGGCTGTGGAGCCAGGGCTCAGATTGGAAGGCATCTGATAGAAGGAGCTGGGTTGGGGGAGATGCGGTGATGGCTGTGGGAACGGAACCTCCTTTCTGAAACCGACAAGAAGGCAGGAAGGAAGAGGCAGCCACATGCAGGCAGAGGAGGGGAATGGCTGCTTTGAGTGGTTTGGGGAAGTTGGGAGGTCGACTGACTGGGAGCTTGGGAAGATCAAGTGCAAAGGCCCAGAGGAGGGAGGTTCGGAGTCAGGCCCTAGAAAGAACAGATGGACAGAGGCTAGAGCAGAGTGAGCCAAGGGAACAGAGAAGGAGATGCATGAAGTCAGAGGTGCCAAGGGCACTGATGTTCCGGGGAGGCCTGTGGGCCGTATTTAGTCTTTGGGCTTTTACTGTGAGTTGGGAGCTATTGATGGATTTTGAGCAGAGGAGGGATGAGATTTGACTTGTTTTTAAAGGATCTGTGTGTGTGTGTATGTGTTTGTGTGTGTGCACAAGTGTTTGCAAGGGCAGAAGCAGGGGCTCAGGTAGCAGACCAGTGAACTGCCCAGGCGGGAGATGATGTTTAATTGAGCTCTAATACATATCGATCACAGTGTTAGACTCTGAGGGGACAATGGTGAAGGAATCAGGCCAGATCTTTGCCTTGTAGAAGCTCTCAGGCTAATGTAGGGTTTCTCAGCATCAGCCCTGGAGACTCTGGGGCTGGCTCCCTCTGCTGTGGGGGCCTGTCCCGGGCATAGGACACCTAGCAGCATCCCTGATCTTTATCCTCTCGATGCGGAGGCATCGCCTCCCTCCCTCCAGGTGGGACAACCTGAAACGTCTCCAGACACTGGCACTGGTCTAGTGGGAGACGGAAACAAACAGAGCATATAAATATGTGCTCTTCTTTCCATAACGGTAATTGCTAGGAAGTAAAAAGAGCAGGTCAGAGGAGGTCCTGAATCTTCCTGATTTTGATATTTTGTTCTCTTGCATCCATTATATCTCTGCCCACCCACACTGCCACCATCTGCCTGATGGTCAAGTACCATCCCCTCCCCCTCTCCACCTGCCCTTCCTTCCCTCCTCCCTCCATGAGCGTAATCCTGCCAATCCCTTCTAGAAAGAAGAAGAAGAAAACAAAGCAAAATGAAGAAAACCTTCTAGAGGACCCCTCTTCTCCGAGGTAGGGGGCCGAATCCTAATTGCCTCTTTATGGCTGTAACATGACTCGGTCAGCTTCATGCTCTGAAAGTGAACTTTTCTGTATCCATGCCCAAAGTTGGCCTTGGTTTCAATTGGCCAGAAGGGAACAAGACAAAACAAGATATTTAAGACATTTCCCGGCCTCGGTCCTGGACGTTTCACGTAACGGACAGGGAGGCCTGCTGCTCGCTGGAGGCAGATAACTCCAAGGGTGCTTATTTTCACAGTCAGCCCAACAGACTATCTTGGGATGCAGCTTGCAGAGGCGGTCGCTCCTGCTGCTGGCCTGGCTGCGGGCCATTTCAGTGGGGCCAGGTCTGGGCCAATAAGAAGCCTGGGGAAGGGGGCTGAGTTCAACCCTTTGCTCTCCTTGGAGGCCCTCAGCTTTGTCACTGAGACCCTCTGGCTTCCTTCAGCCAGATTCTATCCCCAGATTCTGTCTCCTGGAAATATTAAAAGAGACATGGTTTCATCTGTTCTTACTAGCTCCCGGCTTATGTGTATCACCACGAAATCTGCTTGTTTAGGCCTGTGCTGGCTCTGCTACCCAGAAGCACAATGGTTGGATTTTCCTTCCTTCCTTTTAAGCCAAGGTTTCCCACCTTGGTGCAGTGGACAGTTAGATCACGTAAGTCCTTGCTGGGGGCTGTCCTGCATGTGGTAGGATATTCCACATCCCAGGTCTCTACCCACTGGATGCCAAGAGCACCTCTCTCCCCGCACTGTAACTGCCCCAAGGTCTCCAGACATTGCTACCTATCCCCTGGGGGGGCAAAACCACCCTTTTGAGAAAAGCTGATTTCCAGGGATTTTTATATTTCTGATTTTAGAGTTGGCAAAGTGTCACCCTGGACATCTTGTTGAAGGTTTGTAGGGAGAGAGGAGCTTTCTCTAAGCCTTTGAATGATTCTGACCTAAAGGTCTCCCAATTTCATTATTCAGTACTTAAAACATTCTCAAAGAAGTCAAACTCCTAAAAGAAAACACAGAGCATGCAGTTACCGTTGGTCGATTTTAGCCTTGTTTCTGCTCTGCTTGGTTCAGCTTTTTTCTTTTCTTTAGAGGCAGGCACAAGTACAGGTTTTAGGGATATGACGTCTTCACTGGGTTGGAAATCTGACCTCTAGCACTGGCTTGCTGTGTGACCCTAGGCAGTTCACTTCACCTCTCTGGGCTCAGTTCCAGCTCTCAAACAATGCTCCCCACTTCATGGAGTCAGTCTGTGTAAAATGCTGATTTAGCCAGCGCCAGGCCCAGGGCGAGCATGCAGAAGCTGCTGAGATTACTCTGTGCAGTGGGGGGTTTGAGAGGGGCCCACTGGGTAATCTCTCGATTGAAGCCAGCAGCATTTGGTTTTCTTTATTCCCTGCTTATCAGCCACATTCCATCAAACCCTGGGAACTGGCCCTTAGTAGGCCTTCCCTGGGCTTCCTTTTTCAATCCGCGTCCCTCCCAGGATTCCATCTGCCACCATACCTTTGTCTCTGTCCCCAGCCGAATTGCTGTTTTCCAGATAACCTCAGACCTACTCGAATGCCAGCAGCATTCCTCAAACAGAGTGGAGCTGCCAGAATAAGCCGGCAGCTTCTAACCAATTTTAATCCGGGGTTAAAATCCACCACGCGAACCAGCGCTGTATTTTATTTCCTCGTCCGCTTGGGAAGTGAGCTGTTTGGGAGATCCGCCACAAACTCGTTGTCCTGCTTGTCTTCCCTCCGCAAAGCAGCACCCACGGACACAGACAGCATTCCTTCATGGATGGCGGTGGGGGGCCCCTGCCCACACTGCCGGGAGGGAGGGAGAGCACAGTCCGATCAGCTCAGGCCTCCTGTCCGCGTCCCCCACCGCCCCCCTCACCCGCCCTCTCTTTGGTCTCCCGATACCCAGTTCCACCCCCAGGAAGAGGGGGCCCCTCCCTTCTGGTGAGGCCCAGCCTGTTGTCCTGAGTGCTAGACCTTTGTGGAGGTGTCCCTCCCTGCATCTTGGCCTCTGTAGCCTAAAATGCAACGACAGCAGCCACAAAATCCCCTCCCTTTTCAAACAGCCTGGGCCCTGCCCCTGCGGTATACAGCGTGCTGGGGTGGGTTCCTGGCTTGTTCCTGTCTTGATAGGAGATTCCCGGCCAGGAAGAATTGATGTACACGCGGTGGGCATCTGTTGTCCATGGGGGCGGGAGCGGGGGCAGGGCGAGCAGGCCCTCAGCTCCACCGCTTTCTTTGTGGCCCTGCACGGGGTAGGAAGCAGAAAGCTCGCAACTCCTAATTTTAGGAGAAGGGGAGACTTTCCTGGGCTATGGTTTTTACCTCCTGGCATATGGCTGCGTCACCTCTGGAAGATTTCTCCAGCCTCTGAAGAACGGTGTTTAGTTTCTGTTGTTCCAGCTTGCTGTTTCTTTCTTTTTTTTTTTTTTTTTACAAAACCTTGTACATTAAGCACCTTGTCTTAAAAAAGAAAAAAAAGAAGAAGCAAGCGAGCACCGAATATTTTAAGATCCTTTTTTGGATCTGCTTTTTCTTCCTCAGGCTACAGACCCACGACAAAGGCAGATTGACAGAGGAAACAGGCAGAGACCTCCTAATACTGTTGAGATGGGTGGAATTATAAGCGGTTCTGAAATGCTAGTTAATATTTTACTGGGGAGCAGGGCCACAGATATGGTGGAGGTAGTGGTGGTGGGGGACTGCCGAGGTAAGGCTGAGCGTGAAACAGCCGTTCCGTCTGCCTTTGGGGACCCGAAGAAGCCGTTCTCTGTGGGAATAAATTTAAGCAAGAGTCCTTAATAAAGCTCATGGGATCTGTCTGCCCAGCGAGGGCCCAGTTTCCCGAGCACCACCATACAAGGCTGATTGTGGCAGGAAGGTCTAAGCAGTGGGTGTAGGCCTGACTAATAATGGGGGTTCTTGTTCCCGGGCTGAGTTTGACATCTTTCTTTCTCCCTCTGGATTTAAATGGCTTCTCAGCCCGGGAGGCACTGCCTGTGCCCTGGATTCAGAAGGTACACGCCTCCTTGGGAAGCCAAGGCGAGAGAGACAGCGGCTCGCTCACTCTCTCTCTCTCTCTTTCTGCATCTGCCGGGGGAGCTGCCGCTGGTATTTTTCCACAGGCCTTTTCTGCGATCTCGGGGCCTAGTTCTTCCCAGCCAGGCCCAGAGTCCGAGAGAGGGTTAATAGGCAGGAAGCTGAAGCCATCGCAGACTAATACGGAAGTCAGATTTTTGTTTAACTGACAGGTTTAGCAGGCCTCAGCCGTGGGGGAGGGGGCCGGGGAGGGGAAGGGAAGTTTGTAGATGTAGGCATGTGGCCTGCTAGGAGCGCCTTTGGCTTTTCTTAGGGTAAGGACGGAGGTGGGGTGGGGGTGGGGGCCCTGGCATCCTGGCAGGGAGGCTGGAAACCATTTTGGTTTTTCCTTTGAGCTCTGGCTGGCGGGGGCGGTGGGGGTGGTGAGAGGTTAGATTCTGGACCGGGGGACAAGTGGCCTCCCTGGCCTGCTTTGTCCAGGGGAGGCATTCGGACAATGACGATGCAAACTTTGACCACTCGGTTTCCCCTCCTCCCCTGGCAGCCTGAGTCCTCTGGCCTCTGAGAAGCCCAGGGCTGCTCTGGGGCGATTTTGGGGTGGGGTGGGGGGCTCCCCTCGCCTGTCTGGTTTGCTCAGAGGCCTGCCTTCCAGCCTCTTTCTCTTGCCCCAGGCCCCTTTCCTGGGCCTCCCCTCCCTACAGCCACCACTCCCCACCCTCCCCCCCGCCCCCCGCGCGGGTGGGGGGCAGAACATTCTGCTGGATTGTTCCAGAAAAGGCTCAGCCTTCCTCCCAGCGAGAGAGAGCCGTTTCTGAGGGGGCAGATGAGGTTGAGTCCTGCCAGCTCACCCCCCAAAACTCTCTTGCCCGCGGCCTGCGGGCCTCAGGCTCTCCTGGAGCAGGTCAGGCTGGCTGCACTGGTTCGCCCGCGCCGGGAAATCTAGTCAGGGTGTGGGAGAAGCGCGTCTGGGGGCCCCTTTCCTCAGTTTTTCTTGCTGCAAAAGGCCTAGCTTAGCCTGTCTTTCTCTATGCACAGGATGGCTCTCTTGCTCACCAGAGCCTCACAAAGATAATCGCTCAGGAAGTGTCTCAGCCAATCCGCGGCCGCCTTACACTCCGATTTGCCGGGGCAGCCAATCGGGGGTGCGCTTTCATGAGGCGGCCAGATCATCAAGCCGAAGTGCCAAACCCTTTTTCTGTGAGAACTAGGAGCCTGTCCTCCATGTTTTATAAGTATTGACATTACACAGTGTTAACAATGCATCCACAGAGGTAAGCTCGACTTTTTAACCATCTTTTCTCCCCCTCCCTCTGAGGCATCCGCATTTGTGGGCGAGCCGTGTGATTTCTTGTGGCTGGCCGTGCCACACTCACCCCACAGCACTTAGGTTAACTTGGAACTGTTTAGAGAGAAATTTTTTTTTTTTTTTTTTTTTGCTTTCTTGGGTCACATGGCTAAGTAGCCATTAGCCAGAGCTCGATTTTGCAAACTGGCAAGGGCCTGGCACACCTTTTCTTCCACCAGGACATGGTGTTTCTAGAAGAGTGTGAAGCTAGATCCTGGTATTGCCAAAAAAGAAGCTTTTTTTTTTTTTTTTTCTTCCTTCCTCCCTCCTCTCTCTCTTTCTCTCTCTCTCTGAGCAGTCCCCCCCCCCACCCCCACCCTGCACTATTGTCTTCTCTTGTGTCACATGCCTGCTGGGGAAAGAAAATGGAAGGTAAGCAAGCAGGCTCCCCTCCAAGGAGAGCTCATGGCAGACAGCAAAGCAGGCAAGTTTACCTCCAAAGAGGTGCTGGGAAGGCTGGACTCAGTGCTGACCAGAGAGGACGTGTGTTTGAAAAAGAACCAAAGGCCTCAGCAGAAGAGCAGTGCTAAGGACAGATCCTAGGTCCTGGGGCCTATGTGGGTGGTGGTGTCTCCCTATGGTCTTTTCTCTTCCTGCAGGGTTTCTTCACTTGAAACTACATTGTTCAGCCTTTTTTCCTGACTTCTGTTGATACAGAGTGTTCTTCTGCAAAGCCAGCCTACAGCCAGCAAATGTTTCTGAAAGTGTTTTCTAGGCTTTGGAGGAAGTTTTTGGAGTAGGGATGGGGATTGGGGGTGGGAGGGAGTGTAGGAGGTTGTGGGGGGAGAGATGTTGGACAACATCCTGCAATAAATCAGAGGAGTCTTTTGAATCCCTTAGCTTTCTCCTCTTGCATGATTTTCAGTGAACTCATGTATCCTTTCTGCTGCTTTTTCATTCTTCTTTCCTTCTTTTACATTGTATCATCCTGTCCTCCTGTGTGATAGAGTGCAGAGGAAATAAAATCACGCCTGTGGCTCATGACAGCATTCCATATTCAGTGGTTGGGTTGTGGTGTTGTTGTTGTGTGTGTGTTTTTAATAATCCCGTGTAACTGTTTAAAAAAATTTCCTTTTTGATCAAGTCCCAAATCTGCCAGCCTGTTCTCTCTTCTTAACTGTGGAAAAATGAGACGGTTGCTTGAACATTTGTTGGGTAAGTAAAGCAATCCATTTCTGTGACCATGTATAAAGAGTTTGGCGAACATTTGGGGTCTGTTTGTAATAGGGGGGGTCTTGGCTCCAGCCGCTGGGGGCCTTTTTTTATGAGCAGGAGCCCAAGGAGGGCTTTTAAATAGTCTTGATTTCAGGTGACTGTTTGAATCCACTGTTTTTCCTGATAACCTGGGGCTAGGATTGAAGATTATACTTCCTGTTTACCCTCAGACGGGGAGAAATTGTTCAGTTCATTGTGACTTGACTGGAGACCTTGAATTGGGTTTGTTTGGATATTAAGTAGAAAACTCTGGGGAGGTAATCTGCTTGTGAAATGTAAGGAAACTGCTTGGTGTTAAGAGTCACAGAGCCTTCAAGGCAGGGGGTGGGGGGGAGGAGCTGGGGGTGGTGGTGTGTGTGTGTGGGGGGGTGGTGTCAGTACTTATGTTTTAAGATACTTAACATGTCTGTAAAAATCCCACCCACCGCCAAACTTGGTCTGATTCAGGATTCAGTACATCCCAGACCCGGCCTTTTTCCAAGCCTGCCCTACACATCTGTATGCACGCCTGCCTTTACTTCTGATTTATTTCTCACTTTTTACATTTCCCCTTGATCTCTTAAGGCTGCAGCTAGAACTTCAGAGTGAAAAAAGTAGCTTCTTGTTTGCTTCATTATTTCCCTAGACGTTCACTTCATACATTTCCAGCCTGGAGACCAATCCTGGACTGTAAAAGCTGGAAGTATATTCAGTTGCTGTATTGTGCCATCTTTATGGAGTCAATAATCTTTCTTTTAAAGTGGTGTTCAGCAGCCCACCTTTGAGAACCCATTGGAAAAAGGTCATTTAATAACGAGGAATGTACCTCAGTCTAACCTTTTGAGAAGTCTGTGTAAAACAGGCCAGCTTCTCAGAGTAAAGAGACAGGCCGTTAATGATGTAACGTACTTAGAACTGTGTGCTTCTACCCCACACCAGAAAGTTCAGACACTTTAGCTCTTTTCTTTGTTCTTATCTCCTGGCTGTGAATGAAAATTACATATTGAGGTTCATAGGAGCAGTATCTAATCACAAGACTGCTGGTTTCTTGCCGTCAGTGCTTGCATAATGGTGTATTTGTTGGGCTGGAAGGAAACCTAAGGGCAGGGCATTTGTCCTCCAAAAGCTTACATTAAAATGGCTCCCACAGGTTTGCAAAGCCAAGATCTGTTTTCAGATGTGCAGCCCCAGCAAGTTCTCAGCCCTGGACCACGCCAGCCTCTTGCCTCTGGTACTGTGGCCAAGCAGCAGACATGAGTCTGTAAAAAGTTAATTGCTCTCAAAGTAGTGCTGTTTTCCAGTTTTCACTCGGGGTGGGGGGTAGGGGTAAATAAATGTCTGCATTGCAGCAGGGCTAGGTAAGAGGCAGCAGGGCTGGCTCGAGGTGCAGCCCAATGGGCTTTCTCTTTCCAGCTTTTGGACCAATAGACTTGGAGGAAAGGTTACAGATTGACAACTGCAGTGGCCGGACCCAGATCAGGCCTTCTGGAAATTTCTACCATCTTTGTTCCTTTTAGGAAAAGGAGGTCGGCTGAGCTGAAGCGTCTCCTAGGTTCCATGCCTAGGGCATCTCCTCCCCCCACCTTTTCTTTTTTACATCAAGGTAGATGGGTTCTCTCTGCCACATTTGTAAATTGCAGAGGGAGGAACCGAACCGTTGGGCTGTTTTCCTTTTTCCTTCTGCCTCCTCAATCCCCCAAGAGGATGCACAGCTGCAAGGAACAAACACAGACACACTGGAGCTTTTGATTCCTCTCTCTCTTCTCCCCCCCCCCCCCCCTTCAAGACCCTCCAGGATGGATTCACTTTCTGCTTTGGGAAATTAAGTGGCATTCGTGTGGGGGAGGGGGAGTAACTGCTTTTATGAGCTCCAGAAAATGGTCAGTGTTCTGTCTGTAACTAAGAATTAATTATATATAATCACTCAGTAAACTTTCTACAGAGTTTTTCTAATTGCTGCGCAGGAACATGGTTTGCCTGCTGAAGCTGAGTCTAGTTACTTTTATAATTAACAGCTCAAAGATTTGAGTCAGAAAGGAAA